GTTTTGGCGCTTTGAGCACCACAAGCCGAGTGCCATCTAGTTCCATTATATTTAAAAGAAAGCAGACGTCTCTACAGCCGATATCTCCAACACTTGGCAACTCACACAAAAATAGTCTAGACTGATAAACAGCATTACAGGTAAGAGGAAAAATAACTTTAACATCTGGTAACCTTGCTGTGGTCTTATATGTCCTGACTTCAAAAGCTAACAAGAGTCGCATGAAAGTTGTAGTAAACAAATGACAGTTAACAATGAATTTTTATACACAGAGACGTGTTCAGTCTAAAAATGGTCCCTGGATTTCCACACATCTGTTAACCTCTGCCACGCTGCTGTCTGTCTGTCTGTCTGTCTGTCTGTACAGGATGTGATACAGCAGCTGCTGCGAGGATTGGACTTCTTGCACACAAACATGGTGCTGCACCGTGACCTGAAACCACAAAACATCCTGGTCAGCAGCCATGGAGAAGTTAAGATCACAGACTTTGGATTGGCACGCATCTACACCTTCAACATCGCTCTCACTCCAGATGTAAGTGAGGCAGCACATAAAGATAGGACTGAGCACTGTTAACTGGGGCTGCAGTAATCCATTTTAGAGTGTGTTTCTCTCCCATATATAGCACTGTGTTCTGTCTGTTCCTGTGCCTGAGGTGAAAACTGTTCTTTTGTCACTTCTCCCACCCCTGGCTCTGTGTCTTTATTTCCTACCTCCTGTCCTCATACCTCCCTCTCTCTGTTCAGGTGGTGACGCTGTGGTACAGAGCCCCCGAGGTGCTGCTACACTCTGTGTACATGTCCTCAGTGGACATGTGGAGCGCTGGCTGCATCTTGGCTGAGCTTTTCCTCTTGAGGTAAGGAGTCTGGCTGGAGTGTCTGGCTGCAAGAGATATGTGGCACTACAGAGTCTAATTTAAGAGGTAAAACATTCTCTACATTTGTCACAAATAGAAATAAGGAAGCCATATGATCTTTGTTGTGCCTTGTCACATACAGACCACTGTTTGAGGGATACACAGAGATACAGCAGCTGCAAAAAATCTTTGAGTGAGTAGTTTTTTTCTCTCCCTATATAAATATATTGGCATTGTGCTGATCTGCCTGTTTGCTCCAAATTGGGATCCTACTGCACCAGTGCTTAAAGCCTTTTGCCTTAAAGCTGAACTCAAAAGAACAACCATGGCAACTGAATTATCACCCTATCGTATGAATGTGAGGCAGTTAAACGACAATCTGCAAGACGTTTGCATTTCCCTGTGAATAAATAAATAAGACTTAAAATGACATTATTGCTATAAAATGGCAGACGTACTTTTTATCCGCAGCCTGTTGCTCAGTTCTTTGCCTTACTGTTTGTTTTGCAGGGTGATCGGTTTGCCCAGCAAGGACGACTGGCCTGATGACAGCCCGATCTTATACTCAGTCGGCTGGGGGCCACAAGGCTCGTGCACCAAGCTGCTGCACAACCTGGGCCCAGATGAGAACGACCTGCTATCTGTGAGCAGATCTGTGTTTCTATTTTAATGACATGCTGTCATGCCTCACCTTTCACACCTGGAGTTATACACGGGCAGAGACAGACTGACTTTGAGCGAAAGTAACAGGTAGGGATGACCCCGAATAGTCGATGATTCAGTGATTCGATTCAGAGAAGTCTGATTCAACGGCCAGTCTTGCCGTCGAATCGTCGCAAAATGTGATTATGAAACAAGACCGTACCATTCTGACTATATGGGGGTGCTCACTGCTGCTGAACATCTTGATTTGACATAGAATGTATTTGTTTTCTAGTAATTCATGATATATAGCCTATTTTGATACAAACATCAGCCTAATTTCTGTTAATAAAAAACTGAAAATGACGCGTGCGTTTAATCAGTAGGCATAATCATTACTACGCATGAATAAATCACCCAGTTGCTCGATCCAAATAAGCTGAGGTGAGTGACTGCGCTGAAGGACCATCAGAACAGCATCGAGGCCTACGGTGATTTAAAGTTAAAGCTAAAGTCCCACTGATTGTCACACACCTGAGTGTGTGAAATTTGTTCTCTGCATTTGACCCATCCACTGAGGGAGCGGTGAGCAGCAGCGGTTCTGCGCTCGGGAATCATGTGGTGATGATTTACGGTGGAGGAGGTATGTGCTCTCAAATCAAAATTTTTTGAAGGATTATTTGTTTACCTGAAGTGTCTTCAAACAAATTTCACCGCTGATTGTTTTCTTGATGGACTCTGATTTGGCTAGAGCGGTGATGCACGGTCCGTGTGGATGAACTTGTATGAACCTGAGTTGATTAATGAAGTAACTTGAAGTCAGAAAGAAGGAAAACGGTTTCTAAACCTTTTGATGATGTTTTTGGATGTTTATTTGTGAATGAAATGGCAAGTTCTGACGAGTCAGAAACGACTCCTGTTAAAGACATGCATGAGGCTGCAGGGCGTCTGCGCTCAGAGCATCATACCTTGATGAAGTGAAAGGAATAAAGATAAAGAAAAAATGATAACCCTTTTACTTTTATTATTATTATCTTATTATGCCAACTGAAGAATTAAATTTGTTTATTTGGGTGTTTTAGCTCTTTTCTCTGGAGCGGAAACTGACGCAAATGAGCTCATTAATCAATGAGGGGGAAAACAACATGATTCGACGATTGGTCGGCTAAAAGAAAAATCTGTCAAATCAGATTCGACTATGAAAATTCTTAGTCTTAGGTAACTATCCATCTCTGTAAAAGATAATTATTAAACAGTGATAATCTGAAAAACCCAAATGGTTCAGAAGGACCCTTATCACTGCTCTGAAGATATTTCCTGAATTCTCAAAGTCAGTAAGAATCATCCTCTGGGAAGCATCAGTGTCTGTTCAACATTTCACAGCAATCCAACAGTTGCTGAGATATTTCAGTCTGCACCAAAGTGTGGATGGACCAGCTTTGCTATCTCTAGAGCCATGCTGCTGGTGGGGCTAAATATAGCAAACATTTGCGAGATACAGCTTCACAAATCTAAAGAGTTGCATTCTTATCTGTGTTTCACGGCATAATAAATAGGTATTTTGGTTGGTTTTGGCTGCTGAGTAGGTTTATCTAAGACAAAAGAATCACAACAGTGCTTCTGTCCCAGTCGTTTGTAAGGTGTGACCCCTTCTTACCTGCAGAAATGTTTGGCATTCAGACCGAGCTGTCGCATCTCAGCCGCCAAAGCCCTGGCTCATCCTTTCTTCATGAAGCACTGAAGCTACGGATGAAGACAAACTTCAGCTTTTCCTACCGTCAGCTGCACTAACTCGATCCCTCCTACACTTTTCTTCAGGAGTTCACCAGCATCATGACAAACTGTGGTCAGGTTTGAGGTAACAACTTTGTACCTTGTGAACATCAGTAACTGGTAGAACACGACTCTGATGGTATAAAACACTTTTCACAGTCAAATATCTGGTAAGCAAAACATTATTGAAGGATTACTCTGTGACAGTCTAACATAAAAGTACAATGTTCTTGAAATATTTGATGCAACTTTGTGTCTTTCCTTAAATGTAGTGCTGCTTTGTTGTTGCTGAGTGTTAGTATTAAATTCTGTTTTGCTGTAAACTACTGACGACACTATGATGAGCACCTTTAAGTTGCTGAGTTGGTTTATGTTGTTTCACCAAAGCCTTTTTGTTCAAGAACTTTATTATTGTTATTATTTTATTTTATTTTTTTAGGTTTTTTTTAGAAGATAATTATGGTGTAACCACTGGAATAGATTACACCTGTATTTATGTTTGTATTGACAGATTGTACAAGATATTTTTCTATGAGTTACCCTGTTCATTCAAGAAGCTTTCCTATAAATGATCGTCTCTCAAACCCGTCCTTGCATTTGAATGCAACACCGCTGATGACTGATAAATTCAGGTAGATTGGAGATGTGCTGATTTTGGTTGCGACTGATTGTGAGTTTGAACAGATTTCTCAGGTGCACTTTTTGTGTGAACAGTGACTTCAAGAGCCACATTAGCAGGCAAAAGATGATGGACAAACATTACATATTGTCTTGCAACTGCGTAGTCGGAACAGAAGGGGGCAGTACTGAAACAGATTAGGGAAGAACCATCTGCATAATGGGTCCTCAAATTTCCCACAGTCCCAAAACTTTAGTTGCAAATATTTGCTCCCCACTTAAAGGGTCAGTTCACCAAATTACAAACATAAATTTCACTCATTTCTAATTCAGTCTATCTGAGCACACAGTTTTGGTTACTGTATATGCTGAGGTTTTTGAAACATCTGAGAGTCAGAAATGAAAATTTTGAAGCAGGAGGGAGGACATGACAGACAATTTAACGTGTTAATAAATGGGATTACAAAAAAAGTAACATTTTAAAGTCATTTTAAAAAATATTTAAGTTGGAATTTAATGGACAAAATAAACTTTTATTATTTATTATATTAAAATAATATAAAGTGACTGTTTTTGATTATTTTATTATACATATAGTTTGATTATATTTTATTATTAAATTATCAAATACATTGTTATTATATTTTATTAGACGTATTTTATTTATTTATTTTTTATTTGAATTATATTTTATTATACCCCCACCGTTTCATATGCGTGCCCCCACCCCCCAATGGTCAAGCAAAACCTGCGCCCTTGACTTGAACAATAAAGAGCTTCAAGTTTACTGTGTGTCACTCACCTTGGCCATAAACAACTTTTCCCCCCAGAACTATGCACCATGTGAGTACAAAATAAAACAAAATAGGCCTAATTAAAGTTTTTAAGGTAACAGTTTTAAGTCGATTCTGTTCTTAAATTGTGCAGATTAACCAACACATTATTCAAATGAACAAAAACCAGGGGACGTGAACAGCACACGAGACCACAGCTCTACGAGAGCAGCGTCTCTCGGTTGCCATATTGACGGCTGCTTCCTGGACAGTGGAAGGGGCGCCCCACGGTTTGTCCCGTCTATTTATACACTCCCCCCTTAATACGGAGAGCGCTCCGCAGCTGCGAGCGTGACTACATTTGGAGCGACAGTCCGGTGGTGAAGGGCCAGTGGGGAGGGACCGCCGGTGTGAGGAAGGGCAGCGGCAACACTCATGCCCACTCCACACAGCGTGCAGTGCATGTAAGTACTTTATTCTTCATCCATTTTCTCTAATAACGAAGTTATAGTCGAGAATGAGACCAGGCGCCCGCTCGGACCAAGTTCTGAATTTTTTATCACTTAAACGATCACTCAGCGGATGGTGTTGGTTCTGTCTGCCCTGCAGATATGGTTACTCTTTGTGAGCGCTGTGTGCTCATAGTTTTATGTGGTATTGTTTAAAATGATATAAAGGCAGTGACGATTTGGCAGTGGTGCCAGAACGTGTTTTACGCACAATTTACGCACGGGAATTACGCATGAATGAAACTACAAGAACCTTTAATCTTAACACCTTATGTTTGTGTTTTATTGTTATTAGTTCTCAACCTACTTAATTGTGGGTTTTGCCTTTTTGTGGAGTACTTCACTGAGTTACTGTACATAAGTTAAATTTAATGTGCGTTACTTTATGTTTCTGGATATTTCATTGTGATTGTGATAAAATGTGAAATGTTCCCACCATCTATGATTTACCCAATCCATTTGACATAGGAGGAGTTTGCCTTTCTGGGTGGCGTTTTGTTGGACAATTTAAATGTATATGTGTCTTGTAAAAACACTGTCAGAGCAGTTGTTAATGTGCCACATCCCACTGGGAGCTAACAAGTGGATTATGGTGTTTGCATGAGGAGAGAGCCTTGGAAGTATGGTGCTCCACGGCGGCGGGGGGGGGGGGGAGTTCGTGCAGGTTGCCCATTTCAGTAAGGGCAGGTGTAATTGGTCAGAGGCTTATCCTTGGCTAGCCTATTAATCAGGTTGTTCTTGCTGCTGCTGCTGGACACTGAGGTCCTCTTGTTATCTAAGATCTACCATGTCTGCACTATGAGCAAAACCAGCCTGGTAGCCTGTAAAAATATCCCCAGTACTTGTAATGGTTATAATGGTGTGTTGAAAGAGATATTGGTGTGTTTGAGGAAATTATCTGTGGAAGATTTAAATTTAGATCCTCAGTTTGCTGCTGTTTTGTTTTTTATTATGATATTATAACATTGTTGAAGTTTCCCTGTGTCCTCATCTGTCAGCTTTGTTTCAGAGTGTCAAGTCGTGTCGCTGGATTAGAAGCTCATGATCCTTGTTGAGCCCCGGTGGCATTCTCCCCTCCAATCGACAATCCTCCAGCTTGTCACATGACTTTTGCTCTTTAAACAAGCATGGCCACTTAGTTGTGTTCTGCCAGTGAAAACATAAAGGAGTGTGGTGTCAGTAAGATTGGGTATGCTCGTGGGTGGCTCTCTCTAGGTCTGGACAGAGCGGGCGATTTCTCCTGTTCTGGTTGGCTGACTGTTTTCATCCAAGGCACAAGGTACACGTGTTTAGAAGTGCCGGCACAGACACAGAACACAACCCTTTGAGCTTGTTGTCTCATGAAGGGATCACTGAATCTTACAGTTTAGCTCATTAAAGCTCTCTGTGGCATGGTCTGTGATGTCCTGCCGACAGTGTCTGAAAATGTGGCCTTACACTTGTTATTTATGACATAACTGTTTATTTTTGGGTGTTTCTGAGAGATTAAAGGCAGACCTGATTCTGCAGACTTTGACATTCGTGCTCTATAATCACTCTGTATCTTCCCCAGCAATCAGTGTGACAAAATAAACTTCGAAGTTGCATCTTTTACTTTGTGAACTCTCCTGCCACCAGAAGCTTTCAGCCCAGCTGCAGATATATCTGGTGCACTAAGTCCGTGGCTCACGCCTCTTTGTTCCGGCTCCATTGTGCTTCCTGCATCAGGAATGCTGACATCTGCAGTTTTGGAGAGCACACTGGCACATATGCAAACACACATTTATGTTTGTACATATTTGTGAGTGCACATAGACACTCATTGCGACCCTATCTGATGGTTAGCTGCTGTCTTTAAATGCAAATCGCGTCACATCAGTACTATTTTTATGCGGCTTACCACCTTTGGCTTTGTTGGTGTTGTTTATTCACTTCCAGGCAACCATTATGTAGCAAGTGGGGACTTTTTTTGGGCTTATCTATGTGTGTGCATTGGGAACCTGTCATAATTCAGATAAGTTTTTATAGATGTGTAATTAAACAAATTTTAATCCATAGCCAATCATGTTTGAGAGATAACATGCTCTGTGTTGACATACAACAGTCAAACTGGCTATGCAGGTTATAAGATAACATTTGAACAAGAAAACAGTGACTTGTTGAGTTTCATCCAGGGCTGTGGAAAAGACCAGTGAGCCTGGTGGAGTGGAGCTGAGCTGCTGAGGTGTTGGGTTTCAGTGCAAGGGGAGATTCCTGCATGGCACTGCAGGCTGGTACAGGTCATCTTACATGGACTCTAGCAAGAAGAGAGAGGAGACTTAAATGAGGGATGCACTTTTAGAAAGAATTGTATGTATAATGAAGGCATGAACATTTCAAGAAAGACATGTACAGACTGCTGAAGGGCACATTAAGGATGTGTGTTTGCTGAGTTATCTTCTGACCTGTTTACTGTTTGGTATTCCTTTTTCAGGAGCAATATGTCTCACCCACCAAGGAACAGATTGTTCTGCATCCTCTGATCGGTGGACTCTCAGCAAAGAAGGTCTTTCAGTCCGATGGAATCTGAATCTACAGGAAGAAAGTTTTGCTCCCGTGTTTACCTTAGCTGAAAAGTGGAGAGAGAACCACCCATTAGCTTTCTGTTCCTGAATGCTTTGCAATTCTTCGAGGAGCAGAGAGTCGACTGAATCCTTCTGAGGGACATGGACGCCATGGAGAACCCAGTCCTGGAGCCCCGATCAGAGCGGATTGCTCGCTATAAAGCCGAGAGGAGGCGAGAACTGGCCGAACGCTTTGGCAACATGGAGGAGCTCCCCTCCAAGTGGGTGAGGAGGGATGGGAAAGAGGTGCACGACCCAGCGACCCAAGCCCACAGAGGGACTTTGAACTCAGATGGCCTCAGTGAAAGACTTAACGGCAGGACGCGAGGAGTTACCAATGGATTAGAGGATCCTGCAGAGTCCAACCACTTGAGAAGGTGAGTCATGTCTGCAATGAAGGATGACTCGATAAAGTGCGTCAAATTGAAGGAGCTGAGTAATGCAGAAATCACAGAGTCCTCACCAAGGGCTAATTATTCCATAGAATTCAATAATGTTTTATTTTTAATCATATTTGTGAATTCATTTCTGTTCACTGACAGTGACCAGTGTCTTCTTTCAACTGGAAACACAACAAATTTTGGGTGCATGCACGGAGACAAAGTCTATAGAAGTGTAAAGCATTCACTTGCCCTGTTTTTTCTGAATTAACAAGATTACTATCTCAGAATTCTGGGAAAAGTTTTCATGAAAAAAAAGTGAGTGAGGGCATTATCCTTCTGTAAAGGTCTGTATATGTGCACAGACACACGAGTGAAATTAAAATTAGCAAATATTCCTCCCATTCACTCTCATCCAATAGAAGTGGAGGGGCAAATAGAACATTTGTTTCCAGCTGCAAATCAAAACTTTGATTGGCGAAGTTGCAGGCAATAGCAAAGGAGTACAGAAGAGGAGACATTGATTGTTGCTATGTTTAATCAGCCGATATTGTATGATATTGACCATAAAAAATGCAAACTGCTCCACGAGAGATGTTGGTAGACATACATGGAACGGTAGAAAATGAAAAATGTTCCAGTAACATCACATTTTGTGGTATTTATCAGCACAATAGCTAACATTAGCTAGCTAGCTACCTTTCCGTTTGTGTCACAACAAGCACTGCCCACATTATTGCCTCAGCAGATAGTCACCCGCCTGTTAAACCATGCAGTGAGCCCTTCAGGATACAGCTGTAAAAATCTGTAAATTTGTGTTGTACAGATTTTATTGGTCCTGAGCCCGCTTCTGAACCCCTGTTGACACCTGTCACCTGCTTCAGTCTTTCCCACCTTGACATCCATACCAAATTTTGGTTTTGACCTAAAATAGTACAGTGGATAGTATTTAGGAAACAGTGTGTAGCATATGATCACTGAGAAGAGGGGTAATCAGAGGGACAGAAGGATTTAATGTAGCTGTATGTGCATGTGAAATGTGTAGTCAGTGGGTGCTCTCTTCTTCAGAAGCATGAAAACTATCTGGTCCACTTCCCTATGTCCAAATACGTCTTGATTTTAGACTTGAGTACAAAAAGTTAGTGAGGGAATATATTTATCAAACATTTAATATGCATTTGAAACTCATTTGAAGTTACAATCTAAATCCCAGGAGATTGTACAACCAGTTTTTAAGCTTTAGCTGCTTCTTACCGGTGACCTTTCGGCAGCACCAGATCCTTGACTTCACCAGTTGCTCTGCAGCCTTTGTTGCTAATTAAAACTGAGAGGTTTAAATCAGTGGGTCCCAGCAGGGAGTTTTAAAGCCAGTCTGATTCTTTTTTTGCATTTGGTTAGTACTCTTCCAGCCTGACACTCCTCCTTTCATGTGGTATGGGTGCTTTTTCTTGGCGCTTGCATAATGGATCAGAGACCTCTTTAAGTGTCAGAAAAAAAGTACAACTTTGCACCTTTCATGACTGGAGCTGCATAAATTTCTTTTTTGGCTGCTCTTGATGGAAAGGTTCAAGATTGTACTTTTGTTTCTAAGAGCGTGCCTCACCCCACGTATCCCCCACACCTGCGTCCTCACCTCCTTCCCCTCACTCCCGCCCCCTCCAGGCAGGGTTCCCTGGACTCTGCCAGCATGCTGAGTGGGGAGGGGCACCTCGTCCCTCTTGGACACGATGCCCCGCAGCTCCACACTCGGGTGTCAGTGGGCCAGTTGAGAAGTGCCCTCCTGCAGCAGACGGGGAGCGGAGCGCAGCCTGATAAAGTGTAGGGTCACCTGCATGTGTGTGATCCAAACTGTCACTATCAGCCTGTGTGTACCTCTGTGGCAGTGTTTGTCTTCGCCTCATCATCTTCTTCCCTTTCCTTCTCCTGCTCTGTTCTGTGTGGATACCAGTTGCCCTGATGCTGGGCGAGCCGTGTCCTCTTTGGATCTGGCTGTGAAGCCGGGCTCTGAAGGGGGGCGGCGACGCACCCGGCGTTACCTCCCTGGGGAGTCAGGTGGTGGTCGCAAGACCAGTGAACGCTTCAGGACACAGCCGATTACAGCCAATGAGATGGAGGACAGCAGCGGGTAGGGGCTGTGTGCTGTGGTGCAAGATGAAGCACCTGGAAGTTGCTGTTTGAAGTGTTTGCTGAAATGTTTTTAGAGCGACTGTCATTTGCCAGTGAAATTTATGACATCTGACAACTTTGCATAATGTGTTTTTTAACAAGGCTTTCAAACTGCTGATGGCTTGTGTTGGATATTTGCTCTTCAGTCATAAAAATGAAGTCATACTTAGCCTGAGGTGTGACCCTGAGGTGCAGTGCCTTTCCATAAATGTCCACAGGTGGTGTGTTTTGCATGTGTATGTCCTCCTTTATCACATTGTTGCTTTACAGAGCATGCAAATATGACTCAGTATCTTGATTGCTTGGAGCTGTAGAGTGAAGCACAAAGACGTGTATTGTTAGCTCGCAGCAGCATCTGAAAGGAAACACACAGAAGCTTGAGATTTAAGTCCACATCACCTCTCTGTTCCTATTCCACCTGCTGACTTCATACTTTGCCTCTTGTCACTCTTCCAGGCTGTTGGACGCAGAGGAAGAGGAGAACTGTAAAGGTGACGCTACGTTCCCGCCTGGCTTTGATCAAACAGTTTGTTATTGTGTTTAGAGACAAACGGCTTTTGTCCGTTACGCTGCCATGTGAACAGTGCCACACACACAGAGAGAAGGTCACAGTAGCACAATAATGGTTGCCACTGACAACCCAATGATGTAAACAAAATGACAACAGGAGGGAAAAAGTGACATATCTTAAGATATTAAAGGGACGCTTCACCCCCAAATCAAAAATACATATTTTCCGTCTTACCTGTAGTGCTGTTTATCAGACAAGATTGTTTTGGTGTGAGTAACTGAGTGTTGGAGATATCGGCCTTAGAGATGTCTGCTTTCTCTTGGATATAATGGAACTAGATGGTACTCGGCTTGTGGTGCTCAATACGCAAAAAATACATTTGAAAAACTCAACATCAATGTCTCTTTCCAGAAATCATGACGCGCTTACTCAAGATAATCCACAGACCTTGTTGTGAGCAGTTTCATGTAGGAACTATTTTCCTTCTACTGAACAACACCTGCCAACTGTATTACTGTGCAAAAGGAAGCGTGCATCTACTGCTAGCTCACCTAGCATGACGGAGCTAGCTAGGATGCCATTAATGTTTACATCTTGCACTGTCACAAGTACAAGCCTCTCGTCCATGAGTAGATGCACGTTTCCTTCTGCTCAGTGATATGATTGGCGGGTGTAATGCAGTAGAAAGAAAATAATGCCTATATAAACTGCTGACAACAAGGTCTGTGGATTTTCTTGAGTAGTCAGGTCATGATTTCTGGACAGAGACACTGCTGTTGAGCTTTTCAAATGTATTTTTGGGGGCTTTGAGCTCCACAAGCCGAGTGCCATCTAGTTCCATTATATCCAAGAGAAAGCAGACATCTCTACGGCTGATATCTCCAACACTCAGCAGCTCACACCAAAACAATCGAGACTGATAAACAGCACAACAGGTAAGACGGAAAATATGTATTTTTGACTTTGGGATGAACTGTCCCTTTAAGGGGCAACAGATGGAACAAACACCAGATCAATATGTGACATTCTCTTTAAAGGTTTCTTAAAAAACAAATATTTGGAGTGTATGTGAAACTTTTACAGTTTTCTCCATGAACTCATTTAACAGCTCATGAAATAACTCAGGTTATATTTATAGGCTACCAATGTTTAAACTCCTCTTTGATGACAGATTTACGCCTCGCAGCATCATGTGAGCAGTAGAGGACTGCACTCCCTGAACCTCACCATAAAAAAGATTACAAACAAGTCTTTACAAATACTGACTTGCCGAGAATTTACATCACAACTACAGAAAAGAGTAGCCAGTGTGAATCTGTTTTTTACTGCTGTTTGGATACATTTCAAGCCATGTGTCATAATCATTTTTCTGTGCCTTCTGCCATCGCTTAACAGTGTCTCAACTCCACAAATACAACATAAGTTAAGGATTTTTCAAGTTTTATCATGTCCGACAGAATACTTAGTTACTCTACATGCTAGTTAGCTGCGTGATTAAATTAATGTGGACACATTATTCAAATATCAATATGTAAAGAGGATGGAAACAGGATGGAGACGGTTGTTTAGAGGTGGTGTGATACTGTGCTTCAGTGTTACTTTTAGTTTATTTTAATAGCTATCAGGACAAAATTTAGATTGATGAAAAGCTCATTTCAATTTCTATTAACCCTTTGAAACTTGAGCAAATAAACTTGGTTTCTTTCACAAACTGGGGAAGAAGGCAATGAGCAACGAAAGAATAAATGACCCAAAAAATTAGCAAGAAATTAGTAAAAAGAGCAAATTAAAAACAAGAAAACTAGTAAAAAAAGGAAAAAAGAATATTAAATACAAACAAATGAGGAAATGACCTGCAAAAGAGCTTAAAAATTATAATAATTCTGTAACATAAATATATAATAATGATAATTATAAATAAAGTTTTCCCTAGCTTTTTAAAAAATAATTTTCTAAATTTTTTTTTGTGAGTGTTTTTTTGAAATTTATAGAATATTTTCTACGAAATTGCTTATTACCTTTTTCCCCCATGTTTTTGAAAGAAATTGAATCAGTTCGCTCAGGGTTCAAAGGTTAAAATACCAGCAAAAGGCATCTAAAAGCAGCACAAGAAAAGTGATGTTGCTCCAGGTTTCAAAGGGTTAATGGAGTAGCAAAGAATAAAAGTTTTTTTTGGTAACCTTTCTCTAATCTTTGCTCTCTTTTCCAAATATTGGATATTTTTACCTCTTTGGGACTCAAACAGTTATTTAAATGAAACCATCTCAGACATTTAGGGGGAAATTGCATCTAAAACATGATGAAGGGATCCCAAATGCTGTTGTATAAACTTTAATAATGTATTGTATTTAATAAGATCATCATGTGTCTTATTCTGTACAAGCTTAATATGAAATAATACCAGTCACTATTGCTGTAACATAAATCTAGTGGAGTAAATAGTAGAATATTGCCAGCGGAAACTTGTGAAGTAGCCAAGAAGTAGGCCTAGCAGAAAATAGAAATACTCATCATGGTACAAACACCTTAAAATTAATAAATATAGCCTACTTAGTTACAACAGTGAGAACTGTCACCAGATATTACATTATTTTATCAGCCAGCATTAGTCTGTTAGTCACTGTTAATTTCAAAGCCTGTTTGATAGTTTCTGTTGTGATGATTTGTGTCATTTTCTCCTCACAGCTGATGTGAAAACAGACGACAGAGCCAAAATGAGTGTGGCGGCCAAGATGTCTTTGTTTAAAGTGAGTGTGTTATTCTCAGCACTGAAACTAGATCCTTATTGCTGCTCTTATGTTATGTGCTGTCTAATGCCTGCTGCTATAAATGATCCATCAGTGGCTATTCCCCGCTCCTCCATCTAATGTGACGGAGGCGTGCGTTCACATCCTGTCACAGCTGAATAATTGAAGGTTTTCTGAAAGTTTACTCATGACAGTTAAGCTGCAATGAGCTCATCCAACCAGAGCCAGTATGCAAGTGTAAACTGAAATTCATCTTATATTAAAGTACGTTGATGCAATGTCCCGTACTAGATTAAAAGCTGCTATTACAGACTGGTGATAAGTTGTAGGGAAATATATCGAACAGCTACAGAGAAAGCTCCTTCCATCATCGACAGTCACCTCGGCTGCTCACCTTACAGTGTGAGACGCATGGTGAGCCAGCGCTGAGCAAGCAGAACACAACCTGATGAATGCTCAAACAGGTGCAGGCTGATGCTACACTGGGTCCGTTTGTACTTCTTAAAACACAGACTAAATTTACAGTGTGATAAACACACAGTTTTTGTCTCTACACAGACGATGAAGCACATTGTGGTTTTCGCCTTCAACAGTTTACAATCTCCGTTCCTACATTTCACCTCCTGTGTGGTTTTAGTCATGAAGCATCAGGTGAAAATGTGCCATACACTGTATTACCATTAACAACCATAGCAGTGGGGTGTATAATTAGCCTGTTACTCCGTGGAGGCAGGCGGGGAGGTAACTGAAGCCGGCAGAGCTCTGGTTACACTGTGACCTGTTGGGCTGGCATTCTATCCATGTAGCCAACACGCTCCACTTTACAGCAAGCTGCTTTATTCACCAGCTATCCGACCCACTTCCCCTCCCTCCATCTGTCCATACAAATAGAACAGGAGGCATCAGGAGAGGGGAGTTTTCACTGCCATTTTTGTGGTCTCCTTTATTACTTATTTAGCAGGTGGAGGCTGTGGATGGAGGCTGCTATTTGACCTGAATGTTGAGCACCACCTGTGGAAAAAGACTAAATGTGATGTGCTGATAATAACATGTTTCCCCCATCTCCTCTGTAGGAGCTGGAGAAGTCTGCCACCCCCGAGGCCTCAGCCTTCCTGAAGCCTCGCTCAGGCAGCGTCTGTCATGAGCGCAGGGTGCGCCGAGGCAACGACCACCGCTTTCTGACCCAGCCTATCACCTGTGAGGAAATTGGGGCAATCAGGTGGGGAAGCCAAGTGGCCACACAGAGGGAGATTTTAGCTTCAGTTCTAGCAATACATACCGCATACAGAAGCATAGTTCATGGGTGTTTGGTTGGATTCAAAACAGTCTTGTGCACTAGTTGGGATGACACTACTTTAGACATCTGCTTAGTCATTTGGGGATGACCGTCATGAGTTCAAGGGGTAAAGCTGGCATTATTCTATATTTTTCTTACTGTAAACAATCCCATTAAAAGACCAAAAACAATGATGTAATTCTTTGAAACAGGTCACAAATACATATTTAATTTTTTTTTTTTTTAAATGCACGCTCATTTCCTAAAACAGCTGGCTACGGGAGTAAATTTATTGGGGACTACTTTCAACGGCGGAATAATACACATTTGGTGCTCTAATGAGTATTTCCAGCACTGGGATGGTGTATATGGGACTGACTTAAAATAAACCACAGTGACTCTGATCACCGTAATAAATAACGTCACTCAGTGCAACACTGTGGCTCATCAGCCCGTTCTCATTCCCGGGGGGGCATCAATATAGACGCTTTGTCACACCCTGCGGCATGTGATATAAACGCCAAAGGCACCCTTAAGTGTCTTAATGAAACGCACCAGACTTTATTTAACTCCATTGTGAACCAGTCTGCACTGATACCTGACACTGAGGGCAACTGGCACAATATAAAGAGCGCAAAAGTCTGCGTAGGTCAGGAGGGAGGGGAGGTAGATGGGACAGACAAAACTAGACTCTCCTCCAGGAGACCGCAGTTCATGTTCTGTGTAAAACCAAAAGTCAGTGTTGTTTTAATGTAATGACACAATTTAAGTGCGGTTTTGGCACTGGCGTTAGTCACACTATGCATTTACATTACATTACATTACTCTTATTTTAACCTTAAACATGGTGTTTTTTTCTGACTTTACGAAGTAGTTTTGTTGCCTAAACGTAACGGCGACTGTCTCACAACATTAACCGCGTGTAACAATGTGTTTCAGCTTTGCTTCACATAGTTTTGTGAAAGGTTGCCCTGTACATCGCTATAACACACCCAGGAGCGTGACAAAGTCTTGGTTTTTGATGATCTGGGAATGAGAACACGTATGAATTACTGAAGTGGTTTTAGAGGAGCTCTGTGACACTGAGAAATGACCAGTTTCTGCTACACAGGTGATAATTGTTAGCAAGTTCAATTCATTATTGATTTTGGCTGTAGTATCTCTCCATATATTCTTTGTACTTTATACTTAATACTGTAAATTTTTGCGCGTCCACTGGTCAGAACTATACAACTCATCTTTTTTAACAACAAATATATTTTTAGGTATTTCTCATTTTTCACATTTTCTATTGTATTTTTTCAGTTTTATATTATGTCTCTTTGCTTCTGCCATGTGTTTGTTATGCACCCAAACACCAAGTCAATTTCCTTGTAAGTGGAACCCTCCTTGGCATTAAAACTTTTTCTGATTCTGATTAATGAGATTTGTTGACCATGAAAAAAACACAAGCTGTATTTTGTGATTATAACCCTGCTTTATAACAGGTATACTCATGTTTCCCTGCAGCGTTCCAAAACCAGCACCACCAGTGGAGTCAGAGTCTTTGCAGGTGGAGTCAGCAGAGGATGGCGATGAGAGCTGCAAGCTGAGCATGAGTGAGAAGCTGGCCCTGTTCAACAAACTGTCCCTGCCAGGGAAGCAGGAGAGCGGCCCCGCTGATGGGCCCCCAGAGAGACGACGGCAGAAGGGGGCTCGGTACCGCACACAGCCCATCACTGTGGAGGAGGTCAGCCTGGTGAGTAGACAAGCCAAAACAATGTCAAGCCAACACAGTGTGATTTATACAGAAAAGACAGATGCCAAATAAGAAAAAGAAGGTGCTTTAAAACTGCAGACAGTGATGGTTTTAAGCTTCAAACTTGGTTAAAAAAGTTAATATGCTCCCACTGTGAACATATAGCATGTCTTTTAAATCAAGTACGTTTTAATCAGTTATCTAAACCTGTATCTCTCCCTTGTGCCTTGTCTTTGTTCAGCTCCAGAAAGGCCCCATACAGCTTCCTGCCTTCTCTTTGTCCCCTCATCTGTCAGACAGACAGCAGGCCTCGTCTGTCAACCTAAAACCCAGTGAGATACGCCTTTCCCAGCCAAGATCTGATGCTGGTCCTGTACGTGGGGAGCCTAGTGGCCCCACCCAGCAGGGCTCGGACTCTGAGCCAGTCTTGAAAGGGATCCTGAAAAAGAGCTGCTTCGGAGGCTCAGAGTGGAGCCGGACAGAGGGTAGTCAGATGGATGCACCGTCCAGCCATGAACAGAATGGTGGAGGCTGTGAAGAAGCAGGGATGCAAGGGAGGATGAGGAGCACAGAGCAGCAGGAAATACGTGCACCACCACGGAGACAGAGGCGCGAGGCTTCAGGTGTGGAGGGAGGCTCGCTGGCTGCAGCTCCCTGGAGGCAGAGGGCACGAGCCAGGAGGGAAACCATTGCCTGCACACCAATAAGAGCCTTGCCGGAGCAGGATGCTCCTCAGGAGGAGAGGCCTTGCCAGACTGTGCTGCAGGAACAGCTGGTTTCCTCTTTGGAAAACAGCTCAGATACTACAGGGAGAGTTCAGTGAGTATCAAATTAAGTCAGACGGGCTAAAACATGCCTCATAAGTTGGTAATATTGAGTACTTAAGATATTTGGTGCTGCAAAAATGATCACATTTAAAGACTTTTTTTTGTGTGTGTGTGGTATTTGCTTGATTCTGTGGTCTTTATTCTGTATATTTTATCCGTCCAAAAGGCAACAGAATGAGGAAGAGAGTGTGAGGACGATGAATGAAGAAACCACAGCCACAGGACATGTTCAGGTCACACTGGTAGATGGCACCATTAAACCACAGGAAGCAACTGACACCAGCAGAAGTAAGGTAGGAAACAAAGAAACCTCACACTGTTAATGTAAAGATCTGTGGTGTCTTCACTACAGTGAAACTCTCAATGGATCTAATCCCAGCTGCAGAATCAGCAGCTGCTCGGCCTCCTGTCTGTAAAGGGGAAACTCTTTGCTCCTCTATAATCTCTAATCCTTTGACAGCTCAGTCTGGAGCCGGTGGGTTTCAGGCTGTCAGCAGAGAGGGATGAAGTTTAATAGTCAGCACAGAACATTTTTGTCCACTCTCACTTTTAAGACCTCAGATTGATTTACTCACAAACATCTTTCTAAAGAGAATATTTAGACTGTCAAGCTTCCAAAAGCAGAGGTGAGAAGAGAGATGTTGATAAAAAAATCTATGTTCACCCAAGGTTGCTTTCAAGTGTTACCATGTGGGCACAGTAATTAAGTTTCATCGGTAGCAGCGACTGGTTCAAGTAGAGGATACTGCTCTACTGATCGTCTGATTGGTGGAGGTTATAATTGCAGCCAGAGAGGAAGATCTGCAGGCACCACTCAGGGAGTAAAAATACTGCAAAGGTGTTATTATTTCTGTCTTTAATCTCTTAAGTGATGTCAGTCTACTGAATGTCTTTTTTCATTAGGCTACTATCGATTTAAGGGTAATTCAATCAGGAACACTTTAGTCAAAGAAAACTTGATTTCCATATGCAGTATTATATTTGGCAGTATGGCTCTGTTCTGGGGCCTCTCTGCCTTTCCTCTGGCCTATGTGGAAAGCCTAAGGTGGAGAGAGCACACATCTCTGCCCTTCCACGTGCAAACAAGGAAAGCCTGAGTCAGACAGAGAACACCTCCCTGCCCTTCCATGCGCCTACATGGAAAGCCTAAGGCAGGGAGAGCAGCATCAATGACAAACAGAAGTGACATTGATAAGTCAGACACAACCTGAAAAGGAGGAGCTGGGGTGGAGGCAGGTTGCAAAGCAGCTTGCAGAGGAAGCAGCAAGAGTAGGCAGGCCAGAGCAGTTTAAATAGGGTGCCCTGAATGAGATTTGCCAATTGGTTACATAGAAAGGAATCATGTGATCTATCAGCTGACTCCCTTCCATCAATCAGCCACTCCATCATTTGATTGGGCTGTTTGAGCTTGACATCGTGTCCTGCCTGAAATAACGCTATGCTATGAAACCAAACTGTTTATTTTATGTGCTGTGCTTTAATTTTGACATATTTAAGTAGATGCACATCAATATAGTTGATTTTAGAGTAGTCTGAAATTCCCAGTTGCTTTTCTGTGTTAAATTCCGGGCTTATGTTCTTTGAAAAAGGGAAATTTTAAGATGCAGCTCCAGTGAACGAAGAATCCAAACACTGAGAAAATTCTTGAGGAACTGAAATAAAAAGGGTCCATGTGTCACAATAGCAAAACTATATTAAAAGGTCTGTTTACAAACTCTCATTCTCACTCCAAAGTCATTGAAATCCGGTGCTTGGGCAGTGACTTCTAGTGTCAGAAACCAACGAAAAAAGGCATCCTTTAATGTCGGCATGATACATAGCCAGTTGATGTTATACTGTAGTTAAACAGCGCCTGGCGATGTCAGGGGGAAATGCGGCGGGACAAGGGCAAAAGTCCAGGTGGGGTGGGCGGGAGTGGTGGTGGATGGGTCCAGCAAACACTGACTTTCACCCGGGAGGCCGGTGTTCACTTCTCGTAAGATTGTAAAGCCAAACCCTGTTCTTTGTTCCTAATCCTAACCATGTGTGTTTGTTGTTGAAGGAAAAAAAAGGTAAATTCCCCACAACATAAATTTGCAGTGTTGTACTGATGTAGTGTGTTTATTTTGAGAGAGACTGGACAAATGAGTCTTAGATTATACTGCCTGAGTTGTGTCAGAGTGTGTAAATAAATGTTGTTTGACATGGACCCCTATGACTGCAGTTCATTCAGAATTTTCTGTTTTGGGATTCTTTGTTCACTGTGGAGACATACCAGAAAAACTGTTTAGTTGCTGATTTCAACATTACATAGGGTGATTAATTGATATACAAATGATCTGTTAGGGAGGTGAAGTATTCCTTTAACATCAGTCATAATATTGGTTGAATTATATTAGAAACCAATGCAAAATGTTTGCAGATTTTTGAAGCTCTTTGATCTAAATGATGTGGGAAAGCAGCCTGTGGAGCAAATCACACGTAGAGGTTGTTAGGTTCACTCTTCCTGCCATCCTTAAATCCAGAACAAGAAGAGGCCGGTGGCTAGATGGGTGTATTTGTCATTCCACTGAAACCAGATATAGCATCTCTTAGCAACAGCACTCTGGATTTGGCAGGTGCTAAATGTCTTGAGATCAGACTGAAGTTACTGAGGGAATATCTCCCGACTACGTGCTTAGTGTTTATGTGCTGAGAGGGGTTTGACTGTCTCAGAACATTATGTGGAATGTAAACAGACAGACATTATTTCGGTGGTTAAATGTTGACCCTTTTATGACCTTATGACCTCAGCTGCACCGTGGTGACATATGTGTGTAAATGCTCTGTATGTGTGTGTATTCATTTTAATCTCCCTTTCCTGTACAGTTAATTTCTGTTTTAATTTTACTCTTCTGGCAACATTTTCATTTGGTTCCTGTTATATTTTTTTAATCATCTACCCCCCATCCCCCACCCCCACCCACTTTTTTCCCTCCATGCTGCCCTCTGCAGGAAGAGACTGAAAACCTTCATGGGGAGAGTGTCAACCCTCAGCGCTGGGTAAGTCTTTAACTGATGCTTTGAAATGCCTCCTCTATGAAGATTATATGCATTACTAATTTTACAGAAGCTTCAGCCTGCCCCTCTCTCTTCTAATTCCTCTTCCCCTCAGGAGCCCGTCTTTGCCTCTGTCTATTCTAGCAGTACAGCCCAATATATCATGTGTTTCAATCAGGTAATGGTGTGAGCCGCTGCATGGCAGGTTAATCGTCTCTCGTTCTGGTTTGCTGTGTTTTGTATGCAGTGAAAAGTTTTTTTCACGCGGCTGTGATTTTTACAGATGACGTATGAAGTTTCGCTCACGCTCTTGTGCCGACTCTGTCACCTCACCTACTGAGTGGGGTTTATTTTTTGTGTTCGAAAATGAGCTTTCTTCTGAAGTGATACATCCTCGCTCGCACTTCACGGGTTCCGTTTTAGTTTCTGTTAATTGTGTGCTCTTACTCTCGTAGTTCTCTCGCACTTTCAAAGTTTTTTTCTGTCATGCACCTTAGTGGAAATGTCATACCTCCGCTCCCAGCCTTCCTAATTTGAATTTTAACAACCTGCAACACACAGAAACCTGTTATAAAAGGAGCCAAGTTCAAGTTTTGTTGACATTATCAAGAACCTGAAAGTCATGTTTGTCACTAGATTCTGTTTCTGTTTCCTTTAATGGAATCAATTTGAAAGTTTTCTTTGTCTTTCATGACAAAAAAAAAATCGTTAAATGTTGTACTTAATGTGTTTTTTTTGCTGCCTGAATCCATTTTTTCTCGTGATAGCTTTACGATCTTGTTTGTTCATTGCTCCCAAACGTATCAGATTCTTTCAGTGACATATTTTCCCCTTGGTCGTGCATGTCTTCAGAGGTCTCTCCTGCACTAAAACAAAACTCACCTCTTACCTGGTTATCCATGTGTCCTCTTTTCATCCTCAGACAAATCTGTCCTTTGAGGCCCAAGAGGTCTCCTCTCCTACCAATAACCAGGTTCAGCCTCAGTGGAGACAGAAGGTGAGGGACGCAGGCCTGCATGTCTTCAAATCTTTTCATATGTTTGATGTTTTAATCTACAGAAGAGCTCATCTGCATTTTACATCTGTCTCTCTGACTGTATAGGCTAAGGGAGTTGAGGATGAGGTGAATGAAGTTGAGGAAATGAATGCAGAGCAGGAAAGGAAAGATCAAGAGGCTGGACATGTGGCCAAGAGAGGTGAGTTTACTCTTTACTCTCATTATCTCTGCATCTTTCAACTCAGCCTCTCTGACTTCCTTCCTCTGTGTTTACCACCTGTTAGATCTTGGATCTCCAGAATCAGACAGGAATGACACCATACATAACAGAGGGCACTCCACTGAAGCTACAACATGCACATATGAAGGTCGGAGCAGCATTAGTTCATATAATAAAAACCAGTTTCATATTTGTTTTTCTCTTAACAGTTCACTCTGTTTGCCTAACAGAAACCTCCATTCAGTCCGTGTTGGAGTTTGAAGGTAAGATCAAATCAAGGCTCACTAACAAAAGTTGTTAAAGTCTAAAAGTATTAATATTTCTTGTCTGATCCCTCTGCAGCCACACAGAGCTCTGCGCTCTCAGTGGCTCCACATGAGGCGAAGGAGGAGACGCCTGTGGATGAATCAAACACGTTTGACGGAGGTTTCTACAGAGAGCCGTCACCCCCCTCCGCCTGTGCCCTTCCGCCCTGTGGAGACGTCACTGCGGCAGAGAGTGAGCAGGACCTGGGTGTCCTCTGCCAGACCAACACACCCATGTGAGCCTGGTTTGACCACAGATTGTAAGATTATTGGCCTTTGCTATCACTGTAATATTAAATATTCAGGGATGTCGTAGAGGGACCAATCTGTTTTTAAGGTATTTAATTTCAAACTAAAATCACATTTACCTTACCAATAATCTCTGGGATGTCGTGGTCTCTGACAGGTCTGAAAATTAACTTGATTTTATGAAGACAAATTGCACCACATTTCAAATAGCAATTATATCGTTCACTGAGACCCTGGCTGATATGTATAAGGCTTTCAAGAAATTGTCTTAAAATTATCTCCTAAAATTTGACTTATGAGCAAAAAATCTTTGCAAAAACTCAAAATTAGAGCTTTGTATAAAAAGTCTAATGCTGATTCTTGATGGGAAACTTGATTTTATTTCTTGGAATAAGAGCAAAATTACCACATTTTTGTGCACTAAAGACCAAAGTTCACTCTGAGCGGCTCTACACAGACTGACCCTGATCACAGTAGTAATAACACATTAGCTATTAAATATAATAACTAATATTTGGAGCAGATCCTTATGGGGACTGTCCATGCTGTCTGTGTGACGCTGTATTTGTCCTGTGTGTGTGTGGTGCAGACTGACCTCAGCAGTAGCAGAGCATAGGCGGTCGGTGCGCCCGTCCCGTCGGACTCAGGGCTCCAGAAACCCTCTAAGGGCTCTGGCTGCGCGGGACGACATCAGGCAGGACTTAATGGGAGAGAGAGCCAACACAGCTGCTGAGGAGAGCACCCAGGCTGGGAAGAGTGAGTGGGAATATGTTCTCCTTTTTCTTTTCACTTTGTGTTTCTCATTGAGCTTCCTCATCATGTGTTTTCTCCTCCCCACAGAGTCCAAGAACTCACATTCACATCTTTCCGGATCAGAGGACATCACCTCCTCCTCAGACATTACCAAGTCTAATCCTCCTTTCAGCAGCCTGATGCTCATTCACATCAAAGGTCAGAACAGATTTATCTGTGTACACGAGTGTTCTCATGATGATGATGTCTTTGTGTTCAGGTTTTTATATTAACCAGCGCCTGTGGTGACAGGTAGGCGGCATGTCCAGGTGCGTCTGGTGGAGCCCTCAGTGCGGTTGCTGAATAGTGGAGACTGCTTCCTGCTGGTCACACCGGAGCATTGCATCCTGTGGAGTGGAGAGTTTGCCAATGAGCAGGAGAAAGCCAAGGTACCACTGAGGGCAGTAACATTAAGACAGCATGTTGTTGGCATTAAATACAGGGTGCCAGCGTACAATAGGTGCACGTGGTATAAGACATGTTGTGCCGTGAGATGACAGCACTGATGCTCTTGATTTCTGCTCTCAGGATACAAAATCAGCAGCATAAATGTATGTTAAGATTACTTTCACGTCAGTTACTTTCTGATCATTTTGCCATGTGGGAGGTTTTAAAGTTTTAAATGAAAAATGCTGTTCTGCTGTGGTATTACAAACCATTCACTTTGTTTTCCAGGCCTCTGAGCTGGCATCATCCATCCAGAGTCAGAGGGATCTCGGCTGTCAGGCCTCCCAGGTAGTTCACCTGGAGGAGGGGCTGAACTGTGACAGCAGCCTGGCTGCAGACTTCTGGAGCCTTCTAGGAGGACGGACACAATACAGAGGTTAGAGCACAAAATGTCTGCTCTGTTAATTCCTCCCAGAGTAGATTGTTTTATGAGTACTGACTTAATAATTCTGTTGTAAATGACAGATTATAAAACATGAAGACCCACTTGTTCATTTACACATTTACAATTTAGCTGATGTTTTCTTCTCATGTGAAAAGTCAACAGATGTTGTTACCGTTCAGGGCTCAGCATAAACCTAGAGGGGTCCGCCAAGCTATTTGAGATTAGAAAATGCTCAAAAACCTGTACATCACTTGGGAAAAACATGATAGTTGCCGAGGAAAAAAAAATCCTGTAGTAGAGCCTACATCTTATTTTGTGTCTGACTGTCTTCATGAGTCTGAAACCATAACACAACACAGGTTGAGGATGACTAATCTCTACTCCTGTGACCTCAAACGAGGCGAAGATTGTCTGATGTTACTACTTAAGTTACATAACACAGGTAGGGTAGCAGTTTGCTGTAAACAGCATTACTAATCTTGTTATACTATGCAGGAGTAGAGTTGGCTGAATGAATGTTTAGTTGCATTCGAAGTAACTGAACTGAATATTAAGCCAACAGAGGAACATTTACTTAATTATGTTAGATTTCTTTAGGAAATAGCATAGTAGGATAATAGAATAATTGAGGGTATTTTAAAAACCTAAAAGACTGAGAAAACATTTGTGGCTGGAGCCCCGGGAGCTGCCCCCCTGGTGACAACTGGTAGAATAAGATTAAAGGTCTGTTGGATCTGTGCTGCATGGCTTTATGTTTGTGTCTCCCTACAGGAGCCAGTGCAGAAGAGGAGGATGAGCTCTATGAGCGTGGTGTGGTGGAGTCCAACTGTGTGTACAGGCTGGTGGAGAACAGACTGGTGCCTCATGAACAGGCCTGGGCTTCCATCCCCAGTATCTCCCTACTGGGCTCCTCTGAGGTCTGCGGTCCCCTCTGGATTCTCTCGATCATTCTTGTTGATTATGTGTTTCTAATTTATTTGAGCTCTTTACAAGTAATTCTTAACAGCTGAACATGTCTCTGTACATACTGTACTGTACTGTACTCGTCTGTGTGTGTGCTCCAGGCCCTGGTGTTCGATTTCGGCAGTGAGGTGTACCTGTGGCATGGACAGGATGTTTCCCTCAGCAGGAGGAATATTGCTCTCCAGCTGACTCACCAAGTGTGGGTCGGAGCTTATGACTACAGCAACTGTCGAGTCAATCCACTGGATCCCACGCAGTGTAACCCCAACTCACAGAGGTAAGTTGACACTGCAGGCGGTAAAGCTTTTAGTCCGTACTTCACAACGAAAAATAACAGCATATCAATAATCGGACACATTACAGAAACAGTGGAGTACAGCTGTAAGTATTTACTTAGTATTTTTAACATTACAGTGGGCACAATAAAAGCCATGGATGTAAATCCAAACTAGACACAGTGAGCTTGCAGCATTAAGTTTACTGTGCATGCAGCAACACCCCAGAAGTCTGCACTGGGTCTTTAAAACCAAAACAAATGGTTTGTAATTTACACTGCTTGTGGCAAAACCCCAGCACCACACATTGAGGCGCTGCAGTTGGCAGAAAACAATTGTTTAGAAATTCAAACAAGTGGACAGAAACCTGTTGAACGTGTTCTTCTACAAACATGAGCATTAATCTGCTGTAGATCTATACCAGCCAGATTTCTGTTTGCTTCCATTCAGCCACAAGAGCGATAGTGAGGCTCAGCAGTGATGCTGGCTGATAAGGTCTAGCTCACAGTCAGTGTTCCAGCTGATCCCAAAGGTGTTGGATGGGGTTGGGGTCAGGGCTCTGGCAGTTGCCACAAGGTTAGAGGCACACTATTGTGAAAATATACTTGTATACCGGAGCATTTAGATTTCTCTTAATTGGAATTAAGGGACCTGGATCAGACCGTGAAAAACAGCCTTGGAGTGACATGTGACATTTTCACATACTGTAGTTTTGGTAAAGATAGATAGAGGCTTAAGCCTAACTATAGGCTAAAGATGAGAGTGTAAGTGAACCACCACATCACCTGGCAACTGAGACAGAAGACAATGAAAATAAAGGGAAACTTTGCAGATTTTCAACCAGCTCTGTGTCATCGCATTGTGTGCATATGAACAGGGTTTGGCTTTCCCCCGGTGCCACCAGTGCCTAGACCTCCACTGACTGATAGGCAGGGAGCCAATGCGATGCTATGATTTGCCAGTCTGTGTTTGAGTTGCGGGTATTAGCGAAGGTTCATTTCCTGCGACACTCACAAGATGCCACGCCGTGCAACCAGTAGCTTTCTACAAGTTGTCATGCCTTACCTGACAGACGCTTGTGGGGTGGGGTGGAGTGGGGTGGAGTTTGATGCAGTAGCTAAGTAATTCATGTCATGTGTTAGGGGCCGCTCAGGGCTGTTACTGGACTGCAAGCCACACTTTGAGCCACTATGTGCTGGAAGTTCCAAAGGCCAGTCAGGCTGTTAGCATACTAACACAACAGTAGAGACCGTTTCAAATTTGACATCATTAACACAAATGAGTTCCTTTGTATTTCCTGTTGGAATGTTTTGCAGTGTATGTGAATGAGATCATCTGACAGGAAGTAAACATGGACCCAAGCTGTTGCCTAACAATGCAATTCCAGTGGCAAATGGTCTATAGCATTATTTAAGGGCATTATTTACTGTTAGATTCAATTATTATTTCCACAGTTTATTAAGGTTTAAGCCTCTAAAGTGTATATTTACTACATTACACTGTCATTATACTCCTTGAAAATGGGTTTCGATCCTCAATGGATTCTAACTTTTGTCCTCAGTAGGGGAGAGGGGCGTCCCAGCTGGGCGTTGTTCGGTTGTGTCTCAGAGCACAGTGAGACGGCTCTGTTCAGGGAGAAGTTCCTTGACTGGACGGGCGGGACTGGAGGTGTGGAGGAAGCTGCTTCAGTGAGCAAAGAGACACAGGTTCATCTCTCAGTGTAACATTTAAAAGTCACACAACACTTTGGCTCGTTGACTGATACCACATTTGGAAGTATCTGGATTTTTTTAGCTTCCTTTTTCTCTTCACAGCCTATTCCAGTTCAGTCTTCCCAGACCCCATTACCAGACAGCCTGAGCACCTGTGACGCCAAGGCTCTAGTGTCGGGTCAGTTACTGGAAGGGGACGGCCTGGTCCATAATGTGTTGGCTGGGGTTGACGTCCAGAGGGGGCACGGGGTCATTACACTGGAGGAGGGACGTCAGATGGAGCTGAAGACAGTTGCTGTGGACACGTGGCACGTCCAGGAGTTTGATGACAGTGAAATTCCTGTGGAGAGCACCGGGCAGCTTCATGAGGGAGACTCATACGTCATCCGCTGGACGTACAGCATCAACACTGTTGGTCAGTGACATCTATCACTATATCATGTCACACTCTTTACTGTGGCTCATTGTGTAGTGTTAGTGTAATTTAATCAGGACAAAAGCATCAAATATAAAAAGCCTGAAATATGAATGTAAACAGATTTGCTCTGCTGTAGATAAGCTAAACAGCCCTGATGAGTGTACCAGAGGTGATGGACAAAACACTGCCTTCTTCCTGTGGCGGGGCTGTCACTCCAGTGTCAGTGGACGGGACACTGCTGCTTTCCTGTCCATTGGGATGAACAATCATGAAGAGTCACAGGTAAGCACATGATTTTCTGAATAGATTATCCACTCCTGTATGTGACTACACTCTAAAGTAATAACATTGGGAAGAACATTTACTCAAGCAGGGAATAAAGTACATTGTTGGTACTTGTTTTGTAAGGGTTTATACTTGTCACATTTTTGATGGAGACTTTTTAATTTACTTGATGAAAATAGTTAGTAGATAATGTGCAGTTGAAGGGCAATATTTAAGATTAAATATTCAAAATTTAAATATTTAAAAATAGTGTATATGGTTGTGATTATTTCTTGTTTGATATTATTGTGTGGCTTCTTTATTCAGTATATCATGGGTGAAAGCAAGCAGCATTATTTCCATATTTCCATGTACATTATTCCAGCTATTTAAAGAGTCCAATACCAGATGTGCACTGAACAGCTGAAGCATTAAAAACAACCAAATAGATTAATTTCACTCATAATGAGCTCCATTCATCAGTATCGCTTGCCTACCCATTTAAAACAAACCAATATATGTACAATCATGTGTGTGTTGGGTCTCACACAGACATATCCTCATCAATCTACATCCCTGCCAGGACCTTCCATACTATTTTAGCTGAAACATATAAATATTAAAATATTAAACTATTAATTAATAATTAATTCATTCATTTTCCATTCCTCTCTTACTATTACCACCCAGCTGTTTTATTTATGTTTTTTATCCCCCCGACACACACAAAAATTCACATAAACATGTGCACCATAGTTCACAAATCTTCCTAAATTTAACTGCAATTGGAAGATATAATTGTTAGAATTATTATGACTATTATATCACTGTTTTATTGGTCTATTATTTTTATAAAAACGCCACTGTTTTATTTCTTCCACAAAGAAAAAGAAAAAGTGTACAGAACCCCTAAAGTCCTGAAAGGTAATTATTTTTTAAAACCTACAAACATGATAGTAACTTGTTTGCACAACATAATTAAGTTGATTTAAATAAAAAAAAAAAAAATAAAAAAAAAAAGACCTTTTGGGACTTCATGGACTCCGTACAACTGAACAGCTGAGGCACCTAAAACACAACATTAAAAGGAACCACTTTTACCATGGCTACTTTTATTTGAATATCCTTTTTCACCGCAGTCATGAAGCTTTTATTTACATGTTTACTGTCATTAATTAGAGAAGTGTGAGGGCTTTTTCCAGTATCGAGCTGTAGAAACCAGAATTCTAAGCTGACATTTTCAGTTCTTCTGCAGCAGGACTGTTGTTGTTTACAGCCTGTTAATTGTTTGTCTTGTGTCTGAAGGTGGTGGTACCTCAGGGACAAGAACCTCCTTGTTTCCTGCAGCTTTTCCAGGGAGGCCTGGTTATTCACAAGGGCAAACGAGAGGAGGTCTCCACTAATGCAGGTACTCTACAGCAAGGGCATATTCCTGTCTTCCTCTATCCTTTTTTTGTCATGTGATTTAAATATATTTCCTCATCTCTGTGTGTTACAGCAGAGTGGCGTTTGTTCTGCGTGCGAGGAGAGCTCCCAGAGGAAGGCTCCCTGTTGGAGGTGGATTGCTGCTGTGCAGGTCTGAGGTCCAGGGGCTGTGTTGTGCTGCTCAACAGCCAGCAGGGGGTACTGTATCTCTGGACTGGCTGTAAAGCTCAGAGCAGCTCTAGAGAGGTCAGCAAGAGGGCAGTGGATCATCTCACCCAAATGTGAGTCGCACACACTGGGTGGGCTTTCAAAGGATCCAGTGATGAGTTTAAAACTGAAGGTTGAAAATCATTTTTCAGCTTGTGAACTGTGTGTGTTTATTAGGTGTCCACCAGAGCTGGGTCTCTGTAAAAGCAGCCCTGTGAAGGTGCAGGTAGTGGAAGAAGGTTCAGAGCCTGCAGACTTCTGGACAGCACTGGGACAAATGGACAGGAAGGCCTATGACTGCATGCTGCAAGGTAGAAAAAAACACTGACTCTGGTTTTCCTCATGGACATTTTAATTTAAATTCACAGTAAAATAAAAAAAAATCTTCTGTCAGATCCAGGAAAGTATAACTTCACACCTCGCCTCTTCCACCTGAGTGCCTCCTCTGGGAGTTTCCAGGCCAAAGAGCTGCAGAGTCCAACACGACTGCCGGGGCTCGTGATGGCAATGCCCTTCGTCCAGGAGAGTCTGTACTCTGTACCACAGCCTGGTGAGAGCGCTCAACGCACACATGCAGCACACAACAAACCTTGTTCTTTTTCTCTGTGATTCAACCCCAGTATTTTAAAATCCTCAATGGCTTTGGAAAATAAGCCATTGAGGATTTTCTAAAACTTTCTTCCAAAAAGAAAGTTTTAGAAAATAGCTCTTAAGAAGCAGCTTTAAAGACTGAAGGCTGTTCTTTATTACTGTTTACTGTAAGGGCTTTATTATTAGGTATCAAAATACATGGATTCATACATTGCTAGTTTACAGATGCTGACGTTTTGCTGTAGACAATTAATTTTGAGCTTGAAGGTTCATTTATCACCTTAGAAACAGCAGTTTGACTGAACATTTTTAGCAGAAGGTCCACTCACTGGAAGCTCTTAAGGGGGGGGCAGTATATGTGAAAACATTGTCATGTACTGGTGAATGCTTGAGAGTTTGGGCTGTTTTGTTTCCGTGAAATGTGGACAACCAAAATACACATTTTGGTTAATTTTAGTTTATATTTCTGCTCTGGCAATGTATGCAGAAAGCACATATTTAATTTGATAAGGCCTAATTTGCATATTTAAAATAAAATTTTAGAAAACTTGCAATACAACAAAAAATTTTCTTAATGTCAGTAATCAACTGGGCAAGTTTCATGGTTTCTGGTAGTTTAATTTTTTTACCCTATTCACCGGTCATGTCTTTTTTTGTCTAAAAATGTATGGAATTTTTTTTCAATGTATATTTTCAAAGGCGTTCTCAAAATGAGTTTTTCCCCTCATACTCTGAGCCAGAAATCTCTGCTTCAGTAGGACTTACATACACCAAACGTGGTGGTTTTTCAATGGAGGGGTTTTGTTCATATATCATTTATAGTCTGATTTATATATTTTTTATTGCTGTTGGCAGTATTTTCTGATTTTTCTGATACATGCCATGTCTTTGTTGTCTCTGCCAGCCTTGTTCCTGCTTGACAACCGTCTGGAGGTCTACCTGTGGCAGAGGGGTCAGCCCGAGCAGACTGAGAGCACGGCTTCAGCCTGGAGCTGCTGGCACGACGAGAGGAGGTGTGCCATGCAGACTGCACTGCAGTACTGCAAAGGTAGGAGGAAGCTGTTTGACAGGAATGGTTTGGAAATCAAAGTGTTGCTGGTTTGTTGAGGTTTTTCCTTCGTATCCCAGAGATGAACCCAAGACGCCCACCGCAGGCCTACCTCATATTTGAGGGGTTGGAACCTCTCACCTTCACAAACATGTTCCCCCGCTGGGAGAGGAGCCTGGGACCCCACACACAGGTACGAATACATCTACAATCTATACATCAACTGTTTCCTGTTATGTAGTCTAGATATTATGGCAGTCACAGCCACGTGTCTGTGTCTTTCTCTTGTGTGTCAGGGCGAGACAGGGCAAGTGAAGCTGACCTTGGTGCAGGACGCCCTGGCCCAGCTCATGAAGACCCAGTACCCTCTGGAGGAGCTGCTGCGGAGCCCCTTACCTGACGGAGTGGACCCCCAGCGCCTGGAAGTCTACCTGTCTGATCAAGACTTCCAGGTAAACTGAAGGAGCAGTGATGTCTTTCGACCAGCAGGCTGCAGTGTTCGCCGTATTTTGTTTTACAAATGAAAACAGATGCTTTCCTGTCTATAATCTGATCTTGAGAGGAAGTTTAGTCTAAATTCTAACATTCATTTTCTATTATTTGAATTGATTTTTTTTCCCTCCATAAATAAATCACTACAATTATGTTTCAGACTATTTTGGAAATGAAGAGAGATGAATACGCTTCCCTCCCAGACTGGAAGCAAATTGAACTGAAGAAAAGCAAAGGGCTGCTTTGCTAGACAGCGAAAACAAATGGAGGCTGACTGACGCTCCTGCAGCAGGGACTTCCTCCTCCAGTGAGACGGGAAGATGGCAGGGGGGTATTAGCACCGTGGTGCGACACAAAGGACAGCTCACAACGTGATAAAAACAGGAAAGAATTTCACTTTTATTTATGTCGAATTAGTATGAGTGTGTGGACTTTTTATCAGACATGGGTTTCTCCGTAGCTATTGTTCAGAGCAAAAAACAAAACACATTTTCCTATGAAACTCCATCTGTACAAATCAATGAAAGATAAAAGGAAAAGGTGTGTGGGAGTGAGGGAAGACGTCAGTAACAGACTGTGGGATAAGGAGGAGAAAACAAAGGAGTGCTTACAAAAAAAGATAAATGCTAATAAACAATGTAAACAAGAAAAAAATAAAAGGCTAACCACTTTCTAAAGGTTTCCTCCTCTATTGATACGGGTCCATCAATACATCTCTGCATGCTCAGAGCTACAGCTGTCTCTTAATCTCACTTAACGGACTCTGCTCCTCTTCCTGATTGTCACCAAAATCCTAAAACAAGTGTGTTTGACTCCATAAATCTATGATGTGTATTTACAGTCGTGCGTCATACAATGTACTGCTGTGTTCATTTGTCTGCCAGCCTTGTGTGTACAAAGGTTTGTGCCATGTGTATTGTAGCTTAAGCCCATGTGCTCATTGTGGCTGTGGGTAATGCCTTATTAGGACTCTTTGGGGACTCACTATTAGTTATGCATGAGAGAGCAGGTAGACATGCTCCAATAACATCCTTCTGGCCCAAAACAACACGCTAATCCTGCTTCACCTCGATCGGCACACTGTTCAAAGCAGCCTCCTGACACGACAATGCATATAGTGCGTGTACAGTTAACAGCAGTTAACAGTTGATGGTGATGTGCTTAAAATGTTTTGGTCTACTTTGATATTTCTGTAATATCCTTATTCTTAGACAAATGTAGAGAGGAACAGCAGTTACAGTTGAATTTGATGGGAAATTTTAGCTTTTCTAAAAACATTTTTCGTTGTCAGAATTAAAGAACAAGTGTTTCTTGACTTACTGTCTCAACCATGCTAGCTGATGCTTTACTGCTTAATGCTAACATGTTCACAGTGACAGTTCTAACATGCTACTGTTAAGCAGGTATAATGTTTACCATTTTAGTTTAGAGCTAGTTAGCATGCTAATTAGCGCTAAACACAAATGGCAATGTCATTACTTCTGCAGGTACTTGATATAAATTACTGGTGCTACATGAAAACTGACAACCGCAGTTGACCGCAGTCATTCATCCTGTGAGGTACATGAATTCGCCCATCTGTGCCAAATTTCATGGCAGTCCAACTTGTTGCGACATTTAAAATAGTGCCATGCCATTGTTCCGATGGCCCAAAATTCCGATGCCCCATTAGATAGAAGCATTTCCCATTGGACCCAAAGGCCATTTCTTTGCCAGCTCAATGTCCAAAAAACAAACAGCCATTGCTGTCAAGTCCTGTTCCTCGGAAAATACGCACTCCCTGTAGTTAATTTCAAATTCCCAGCAGAGGTTGAGCCAATGATTACGGGTGTTTTCACCAACCTATTCCTGCTTTTTCAGCAGCTTTTGTGCCACCAAACAAGGATGTTTTGAGCCAAAACACGATCTTTTACTCACCATGACCAAGTGTTTTTTTTGTGCCTAAACCTAACCACAATGTTACTTTTCAATATCAGCTACAAAATAATGTACAAATGTAACCTATCTGTGGTTTATAGAAATGTACAATGTGTATATTCTTTCTGGCGTCTTAACTGCAGGGAGGATTTAATTTCGGAGAATGGGACTTTGGAGCATGAGCTTTTGTTTTTGGCATAACAAGCTGTTGGAGAAATGGGTTTAGCTCCATTGGGACATTTATTTAGACTAAAGGGGCTTTGGAATTTTGGGCCATCGGAACAATGAGCAGTCCCTCTCAAGGTGCTTATAACCGCATGCTGTATGTGGACCTGCTGTTGGCACTAGAGGACCGGCAAGGGATCACCCAAGTCATTAGGATTAATCCTCTGGGAACCATGAACATTTGTCCAAATTTTTGTGCTAATCTATTGAGTAGATACTAAGATATTTCAGCGTGGACCGAAGTGGTGGTTCTCCATCAATAACAGCCTCAGTTAACCATAATACAACCCATCAATGGGCCAAAAGGGCATTACTCATCTGGAAAAAACTCTTACTCTGCTGCTGATGTGGCTAAAACTACTGCTGCTGTTTTGGTTACAACTCACAGACCAGTGATTTCCAACACTGTAAGAGTATCCGAGGGATGTTTTAGAACATCCACAAGTCACGCTGACCACACAAATTGTAATCAAGTCAGGCTGGTCTTCCATTGGTCCACTGAGTTGGAGCCCCTTTGGGTTCACTGGCTAACTGGGTGTTATTTTCCTCAGAATGGATTAGCTGACTAAGCCTCCATGTGACTGTGCAGTGCTGGTGAGATTGGATTTAGGCCCACCGCTGGGTGATGGCGCACTCGAGAAACAAATTTCCCAAGGCCTGTCCCTCGCAGGCAGCAGCAGCCTCCACGGACTAACGCTAAAAAAGATCTACCCTACTCGTATCTGAATGTGTGACATCTACTTTACAGATATTACTCTGTAGATGAAGTGAATGCAAACTAATCTCAAACATTTTTTGGTGCAAATATGATAAAGGAAAAAATTCCAAGGTCTTTTTTTATGTGAGATGTGAAATAAAGGACAGAGTCAAATCCTTGCACCCATCAGCACAGCCTTCAGAAGTGTCCTTATTAAATTGGACTGGATGATGAGTTTGGGAAGTGTGCCTCTTCAACACTGTCTGGCAGATTATGTGCCTGTTAAGTACCATTTGAGTACAGAAGCCCAAGGATAAAATGACACATTTCCAAGCCCTTCACGTCTGTGTCAGAATCTGTCTAGATGGCCTGTTCTCTCTGTGCGTCGGCTCCAGGTATGCATCGATCCGGTTCGGAGGCCAATGCCGCCTCTCGCAAAACCACCATGTGATCTTCAGCCGCATTGAGCGACTGGTCGATCCAGTCCATACTCCCGGACATGTGACAGGCATTGCGGGTGACCAGCACCAGGTGGCTGACTGAAAGGAGGAGAGCGGTGGCCCTGAGGAGGAAGAAAAGGACTAATGGGTTCAATTTAACTGGCTTTTTTGGGGTAGCTGCTGGATGAAAAGCACTTATTCCCAAAAAGCTTTTTAAAATGAAGGAACTGCAGGCTTAGAATGAGTCTGTTGGGCTGAGCAGGCACAGAAATAACACACAGAAAGGACTGCAAACTCCTGGCTGCATCAATTTGCTGTGACACTTAACATTTATATTACTCTCCGTATCTCTGCATATATCAAAGCTTATTACAAAAAGCACCTTTAAACAAAGGGGCAACAAATGTGATTACCTGGCGTCCAGGAGGATAGGATCCAGCGGAGGGTACATAGATCTGACCACGTCGTCCACCCTGCAAAGAGACAGGCCATTGAGGACGTGAGGACGCGGGTTAGCCTGAGTCAGTGATGTGTTAATAGTGAGTTGAGGTGAATTGTGTACTGCATGTTACCTCGGGCTGATGCGTTTGGCCACAGTGATGATGTCACTCAGACTGGCCGGTGCTTTGACCTTTGCACCTGAACCCATTGTCATGGCAACCAGCTTTTCAGTCAAAGTGTGGCAGATCTGTAGGTGGAGATATAACGTGTTCGCATCAGGAAATAAAGATATAGACTAAATATGAACCAAAGCAGAAAGCGAGAAGTTAGATTACCTTTAGGATTGAGATGCAGTGAGAGACCAATCCACTGTGAGAGAAACATTCACAGAATTAGTAGAAAGAAGTACACAGATATTTTACGTAAACCAGCACTTTTTTCCATGTTAGCACTGTGTTTGCAATTTCGTAGCTTCCTCTAGGATGCATGCTGCTTACAGTCTGGCACTAGGTCCCTATGATTTTATAAAGTACAACCTAACCTGCATGCTGTGCCCAGGAACGTCCAAAACACAGCAAATAAAGAAGAAAATAAGAAAATACAGGCAGAGGGCAGAGTCTCTGCAGATAAATACACTGCCACACACTTTTAATGGGTCATAAGTGACTGAAAGGAAATATTTTTGTATGAATATATATGTATATATATATAGATTTTGTTTTTAGGAAAATCCTGCATAATATACTTTTACGTAGAGGGTAGCAACACCATAATATAGAATACTTTGTTACAAGTAAAAGTCCTGCATTGAAAACTTAATTTAAGTAAAAGCACAAAAGTATTAGTATAAAAACATACTTTAAGTTCCCAAAGTAAAAGTACTCATCATGCATAATGGCCCATTTAAAAGCTTTAAACATATTATGCACATTATATTATTGGATTATGATTATTGATGCATTAGTGTGTACATCACTTTGATAAGCTAGTAGCCTAAAGGTGGAGCTAATTTTAATTATTTTATATGCTGCTAGCTCGTGAATTTCCCATGGGATCAATAAAGTCTTATCTTAACCTATAATAATACATCATATCTTATTTGTAGATCATATTATGTATAATTAATCTGAATCTTTAAAGTAACTAAAGTGATCAAATAAATGTAATTAAGTAAAAAAAAGTACAATATTCCCCACTGAGATGTAGTGGAGTAAAAGTGTAAAGTAAATTTTTTAACCTGTACGCAGACATTCTCTGTGGGCCCCTTTATTCATACACATCTATTTATTCTAGTATTTTTGTGGGCCCTCCTCACATGAACACTGTATACTCAGCCCTTTTTCCCTCTAAGTCCTACGCCCCTGAGAGGTACCTCAAAATTGTATTACATGTAGCATGAGGTTATGTAACTTAAACGTCTAAAACTCTGAACTTATGTCACGCAACAATGGCACCAGTGAGACGTACGAGGCGTCCTCAATCCAGTCCTCATTCTCAAGGATGGCCTCAATGTGAGGGTTGGTGATGACCACATCATCCAGCTCCAGCTCAGACGGCTCGCTCTGGGTCTCCATGGCTCCAATCAGATCCACTGTGGGTCTGTGAAACAGGGCAGGGAAAGAAGTGGAAGCAAGGCTGGATTAGCAACCAGGAAGTCACAGTTCAATTACATTTAAACTGGAAGTGGTAAACTGATTAACTGCAGTTTTTTTTCCGGGGGCATGTGCACCATTAAAGCAGGTTTAAGTGGTGATACAGGTGCTTAATTTATTGCCCTGTTCTATAAAGGGGTCCTCTGTCTCTGAGCACACAGTGGGGATGTCATGTATATTCTGCAGTGCTTTATGTGAAGTTGGAGGCCACAGAGTATTTAACAAGGTTTGTGACCTTTTGTTAGAACATTTTAAAAAGACAGCAAACCTAAAACACAACCTGTTTTTTTATTGAACACATAGCAACTATCAGAGTGTAAAGGGCATCAATAGGATGGTTGATGGTTCAGGTCCCTGGTGGAGGAACCTTTCTTGCATCTTTTGTTCCCTTACTGGCACCTCTCCATTTTTGCCAATCAATAAAGGCATAACACAGCGAAAAAAATATTTTAAAAAGTACATAAATAGGTGACACAGCACACGAAACCTGTTGCACAGGTGGCAGGTGAGCAAGGACCAATAAAACCAGTACTTCATCCTTCATAACACATTTTAAGACCTTAAGTTCTGATAGAAGTTAAAACTCTGTCTGATTCAGACTTAGAGGCTTTTGAATAGATTCACTGACTTGGATTCAAAGTGGTGCAGCAGGTCATGAGGGTGGCAGTAGCGATGTCTGCACACCACCACCAGGGCGACGAAGGAGGCCAGGAAAATGGTGGCCAACACCCCAATGGCCACGATCACCACTGTCTCCATGGCGACTCCGGCTCCCACAGCGGCTGCAGGCAGCAACTTGATTCGAGGGGAAGAGAGTCCAATCAGGGTCGGCTGATTGTCCGAGCTCGATTATAGATGGCTGCTCATCTGCAGAGGAGAGAATAATTGGTGGCTTCAGTCTGGTTGTGTGACATCAAAGCGGAGAAGTGCGACATTATGACCGTACTTGAGGGTATTTCTGCGAGAAATTTCCCTGATTTGTTGCAACACATTGCACCTTTGAGCCAATGGAGAGGACAATACAATCAGCAGTGTTTCCTCTGTTTCTAAATGTGGCACACCCGCAACACACACACACATAAAACTGATCTTTATCTGAGTACATAAGAAGCTGAAGTGCACTCGCTTTGTTTGCACCTCATACAGTGTAATGAGAACACAGTGTTTGGTGTACAGAGGCGTTTTTTTGTGAAATCAGGGCAAACACAACCAGCAACAAATATTATATTAATTCTGCTGAACTTTAACAAGCAGCCACAAAGTAACAACTTTAATAACTGTGTCAGATTTCCTGTGTTCTCTCACTTTGATTAGTCGCTCCGGCAAACACACACACACTTCTAAACCTTCAGTCTAAACCTGAACAAAGAACAAACCTCCAAATAAAACTCTCATGAACTTTGACCTCTTACCATCTGATGTTTTCAGTCCCAGCTGAAGTACTTCTGGATTATCTGCAGTTTAATTTAGGTGACATGTTCCCATATTTAGCCTCCTGTGAGAGTGTAAAGTGTACCTGCCCTCTGCCCAGTCTAGTCACTCATTAACCTGTCCCACCCCTCCTGATTACCTACAGTGGATGTGCGTAAACACTCTGGAGGAAATCTGTCACTGGCTACCCAGGTGGTATTCCAGGTACAGTAGAGTGTAATGGTTTTATAATGAGGCATGACATTAATAAAGCAGAGACACAGTTCTGCGTGCTGTCACAAGCACAAATGACCACAGGGCAGCTGAACTTTCAACATTACAACATTGTAAACCTGCATTTTTCCCTGGATGATTATGTGAGATTCAGCCACGGAATGCTGTAATTCTTTAATCAGATTAATTTGTGTTACGCTCGCCGTATCATACGGAGCTTTCTCCTGTCTCTCTGCTGCTCCAAAGCCTTTCTGACTCCCTTTTCTTTGTGTCTGGAAAGCTTGAAAATCCCTCTGCTAAAATGAGACACAGAAACTAATTGGAGGTATTTTAGGATACAGAAAAATCCAAAGGACCAAAGCTTTTACCTAAAGCCGAACCAAGATGATTTTACTGCAGAGTGAGAACAAACTGGTTACCTTTAACTCACAAATAGTGGAAAGTAACTAAGTGCATATACTTAAGTGCAACTTCTACTACTTTATTCTTTGCACACAACATTTTAAAGGGAAATATTGTACTTTCCATTAAAAAAACTCTTATAAATAAGACTAAGCAACAATGAAGTAGTTAGAACAGATTTTTTAAGTGACTTTTGCTGATTATACTTGTGAGTGCAGGACTTTTATTTATAATAAAGTACACTTAAACTGTGGTATTACTACTTTTACTGAGGTAGCTTTAAGTATCTGAATACTTTTCCACCACTACAAATACCATACTTTAGATAATAGTTTCTTGGAGAGTATAAACCACAACAAACAAACAAAAAAGCAAGAGAAAAAAAATCAACTTGATACTAAAATAATCTCCTTTGTTAACTGAGTGTACAATACAGATGTATAATTAGGCCTATATGACGCACAGAAAAGCTTATTAAAAGGGCTCTGTATCAGAAAGTCCCTGTTCTGCCTGAAAAGACGTGCAACATGGCGGACATAACCAAAACAAGCAATAGACTAAATATAACATGCACCATTTAACGAAACATTTCACCATCTTCATTATTTCCCTCATTTGCTTGATGTATAGAAACACACACACAGGCGCATGCTCACACTAACGCACACTAACGCAGTTTTCTCATTTACAAACACAATGTCGATACTTAAAGTCAAACCAGAGCCACTTTTGAACTCAATTAGGTAAATAAACAAGTACTTACCTACACATTTTGTCCTTTTAGTTGGCTTCCTTTCAGGAGACAAAATACTTTTCTCTCCACCACCAAGCTCGCGGAGACGGCGCCGACATCTCCAAATCTGTGCCGTGAACGCGCACAAAAGCAGCCCCTGAGCTCCGTGCACGGCTGAGCTGGAGCTGTCGGTGTGACTGATGATCAAACTTTCCTCTCTGTTCCGCCTCACCTTCCGGCGCGCGCCCCTGCAGCTTTATCTGCGCGCGGACAGACGCGCCTCTCGAGGTGGTGCTGAAGCGCGCGCTCGCTGCCATGTTTGTTAATGCTTGGGAAATATACAGTGTTGCGAATGTGACACACAAGTGGATACAGTGACGCTAGGTGGCGTACGTTAACCGCCATATTGGTTGGTTCTCAACACATGAGAGGAGGTAAAGTCAAGTCTGTCAGTTTGAATGTTTCTGAAGCTGCACGTGCAGTCGGTTGTTAAGTCGGGTGCAAAATTAGCAAACAAATGCTAATGCTAAATGTGTCGTGTGCACTTCTACTACCACTGTTGGAAGATGGACTCAAGAGCTTTAAGTCTAAGTAGCATCACTGCATTTAAGGGTTCACTTCAAAGTTAAGGCGTTTTAATAGCAACATAGCAAAAATGCTTGTTGAGAAGAGAGCTACTCTTTTATCAGTGGTGGAGGAAATATTCAAATCCTTACTTAAGTAAAAGTACTAATAGGCCTACCACACTGTAAAAACACTGTTACTAGTAAAAACCCTGCATTGAAAATGTTACCTAAGTAAAAGAATGTAAATAAAATCAGGAAAATGGATGTAAGTATTAAAAGCAAAGGTTTAAATAAATTTAATACATAACAATAATTTTAATGAAAGCAGTGTCGTCATTTTTGAGAAGCTGGAACCATAATTTTTTTTTTTTTTAAATATCTTTAATCTTTATTTAACCAGGAAGTCCCACAAGAGAGACCTGGCCAATGTAGCAGCCACTCAAATCACATTACAATGCGACGAATACAACATATGATACAAAAATCCACAATAAAACAGCAACTATTCAAACATCGTGGCCTCTCAAGAAAAACAAGCACATATCTCTGTCACCACATTCTTTATGATGCCCTTAAATTCATCAATGGATATAAGTGTTTTTAGATCTTTTTGGAGATTGTTCCATGTCCATGGTGCACAGTAGGAAAATGCAGTTTCCCCCAGATCTGTTAAAACTCTGGGTACATTGAAAAGCAACCACCTGGAGGAGCATAGCTGGTAACAACCAGAGCTGACACACAGAAGGGAGCAGAGGTAGGCTGGAAGTTTGCCCAGTATTGCTTTATAGATACAAATATACCAGTGCTGTTGACTGGGAATGGTCAATGATGTCCAACCTACCAAATCATAAAGAATGCAGTGATGAGTAAATGACTTTGCATTTGTAATAAAACATAGGGATGCATGGTACACTGAATCAAGACTACATAAAATATTTGCATGAAACAAAGACTTAAACAGTAGTCAAAATAGTTGCCGATTAATGTTGTAATCAACTGACTTATAATCTCAGTTAGACTTGCATATGTTCATATGTTTTGTGTCCAAAAATCTTTTTTCTAAATTAACTAGTAACTAAAATTAATAATATTTGTAGTGGAGTAAAAAGCACAGTATTTCCCTCTGAAGTGTACTAGAGCAGTACCTCACAATTTTACTTAAGAACAGTACTTGTAAATGTACTTAGTTATGTTCCAACACTGACTTTTATACACTATATATCTACAACTGGAATATTATTACTGATGCTTCAACATGTGAGCAGCATTTTGATGTTGTGGAGATGGACACTATCGTATTTTGTAAGTCGATCATACTGAAATGTTTGAACCTACATTTCCATGACAACAGGGCAAATTACATCTGCTAATGATGACATGATCAAAAGCCCCAGAACAGCAACTAAATGAATCTTGAGCTAAGAGTGTTTTGCCAACTAGCTATAGTCCTCTAAGAAACCCAAACTAGAAAGGGATAGATATGAAAAGAAGTCAATGTGATTTGGTTGACATGCAATTGGTGTTTCAATATGTCCAATCAACCTGCTGTCAATATGATGTTCCTTCAACTTTACAGAGCTTTGAGCCATCTGTCCACAGATGGATGAGCTGCTGAGGGCTGCTTCCCATCACTTACATGCAGGAGAATTTACAGAACACACCTTTAAAGAGGTATGACCACCTTTTCTCCTCCGCGTACACTACTGTACGTCAACTCATTCAACATTAAAGCATGTCAGAGTGTAAAGCTACAACATTAGCTTTGTTGTCATAGTTAATCCATCTCTGTTACACCACAGTTTGATGCCTTTCCTCATACATTAATGCCCTCCATTCACTTTTCCCTGTGTGTTCCACTTTGCTGGAGCACATACCATACCACCAGCAGTGATAATTATCCCGTCTTCAACTGAATCCAGCATAAAAGCAGGGTACCTCACGCAGAGCCTGCAGAAGGTGGTTAATATCTGAGCAGACCTGTCAATCACAGCCAAGCATCATTAGGTATATCTGTGCAGCGTTCTGGTACAGATGCTCAGTCTTTGAAGTTTTTACTCGGCACGAATGGATCCCAGACTTAAAAATATATTTAGTTATTTAACAATGTCAGCTCGGATTGAGAACAGGAGTTAAGATTCGCATAGTTTCACTGAAACACCTTTTCATCTCAACATCATGATAACAAAAAAAAAAAAAAAAAAAAAACAGTATTTGTGGCTCACACAAACATTCAACCTTTCATCCACCTTGCCTGAGGGTAGTTAGTTATCTTTCTACTCGTGTGGAAACTCTCATCCAAGGAAACTTTACAGAGTCTGCTGGTCTCTGCTCACCCAAGTGGCTCTTATTGTTCTTTAATGGCCAGCAAGCTTCGCAGTGGCACCAGATAACGAGCAGGTGAGTGTTATCCAGTAGCTGTATTGAGCTGCAGCAGCGTTAATCAGCTGGTAACAGTTGATTCCTCCTGAGAGCGAACCTGCCAAGCCGTAATTGAACTAATAACTGTCCGTGATGGCACTGAGGTTGCTGTCAGGAGACCAGCAGCTGTGTAGAAATGTCTTAACTTTATTTAGTGCACTGAGTTTACAGAAAGAATTTTTTTTTTATTTTTATTTGTGGTAGATTGGTTTGTTTTTCCTTTATTCGCGAGGTTTTAAAAAAATTGTAGCCTACTATAAATCAGCCAATTATACCTGGGTCATGAAAGCTATTAGGTTCACAAAGTGTTTTTCCACAGAGAAATCCTCTGACACACAGGAAGTGATGCATATGACACTTCTGGCAGCAGCAATTGTTTGGATCAGCAATTGTAAGAATCTGATAATTAGCATGAATGAACCGATAAAACCACTTGGAAATGCAGAGGAGAAACCTCAAAATGAAACATGTTATGCACCAGAGCTCTCTCTCAAACACAGAGAAGGAGAGAGACATGATAATAATAAAAAAAAGATGAAATAGAAATTCTGGCTCTGTTGCATCTCCTCAGGACTTTATTGTTGTGAGAGATAATAATCAATACACATTTGATAAAAAAGAAGAGAGATTGTTATCATTATTTTTTTAAGGTCCCTAAAAATATTCTAAATATAGTGTACACTGGATAAAATATGTTTTGCTGCTGCCACCATTCACAGCCACCACACTCCTTTGACAGAAACTGTAATTTTAACTTGCGGAACACCACAAGGAGTTGGTGGTCTACCCCTGCCTCTATGTTTTGAACAAACATAACAACAATGCTTTGTGCAAGTATGTTTAGCATACTATGCTAGTGACATAGGTCACATGACGTATGTGACACGTGTGCCTTGACATTACAGTACATAAGTACCAAATGTACTTAAATTAAGCCAAACCAGGATAATTTTTCTCGAAACCTAACCACATACTTTTGGTGTCTAAACCTACAAATGTTTTTTTTCCCTTTGGTCTCGGTATATTTTGAAAAGGGAGTGTATGCATTTAAATGCATTTGAAAACAAAAGCTTATTTTGAAAGGACTTAACACATGTAATAAGCTTAAATTATATGTCGCCCAGTGCGTCTTGTAACGCTGCTAAAGGGTGCTCTGGTGCCTCGGTATCTGACGCCGAGGGCCACTGAGCAAGCGTTGGTATTTGATGCGTTGGGAGTGAAAATGTGTCGTATTGGCAGATTGATCAATTATGGAAATACTAGTATTAGTAGTATTAGTAATTGCAGCTGTGGTGAAATGCATGAAATTTGATGTAAAATGTTTTAAAATCACTACATAGTCTTGCCACTGAGTGGCAGTATTATGTAAATTACTGTGTTCCTTGAAACATTTATTTGTAAATGAAGAAGAAGCCAGTTGTCCTCTGGCTCAGAAACAGGTGGAGTTTTCTGAAGTTATCTTTGATGTTACTCCATGTTTATTGCAGGTTTACAGAAGCAGACATTGGTGTGTTGGCAGGTTTGCCATAATTGGAGCCAATGGATTGTATCGTAACAGAAATCTCCACCTGTTGTCTCCTCCAGAACCTGTGATAGACAAACTGGTGCACCAGCTGCTGGGAGCTGCAGTCGACAGGAGGTAGTAAATGATGCATGGTTTCCCTACAATTCCACTTTATTGTATTTCTCATTATCCCAGGCATGCTCCACACAGTGTGGATGGATTCATTACAGACGGAGTTAGTCAATGTCTGTGTAGCTTTGCTTTTAAAAACTAAATGAAACAGAAAAAGGATTGACGATTTTTTTTAGTCATTGAAATATAGATTGCTGGTGCTTTGGAGTGTCTGCCTTTGACTGATAGATGAGGAATGAGGAAGTGGGTTTGTTTACAGTCCCTGTGGCCTTTCATGACATCTGTGGCCCTGTGCAGCTCTGCAGGCAGCAGGGGAGTTTACACATTAAGTGTGCGTGTGTGTGTGTGTGTGTGTGTGTGTGTGTGTGTGTGTGTGTGGCGGGGTCTTTCTTTAACAGATGGCTGAGGGTGGCCTTTGAGAAGCTGTGGATCTGGAGCAGCACTCTGATGATTTATCTTTTTCTCGCTGTCTCTTAATCAGAAACAGAGGGAAACATTCTTCACTGTCGGTGCTTGACAGCAGTCTTTGTGTTCGACGCCTGTTGTTGACGGAGTGGCAGGCCACACAAATGTAGTATTTCCCTCAGCCTGCCTGGCAGGTGTGGCTGTTTAAGCGGAAAATCAATCAACTTTGGCAATTTCTTGCTGTGTTCTTTCACATTATTTTGAGGACTAGGATTCTGATTAAATTGGATGCCTTTATAAACAGCCACCTATTAAAGTCACATTCTCAGCCTTCAGGTGTAATCAAGGGTTTTTCTTACCTTCATTCCCTCCCCCATATTTCCCTGCATGTGTTGATGCTTGACTTCAAATGAGAGCATGTTTGCTTGAAAATAAAAATGTAGAAACTGTGACTCCTTTGGTAGTATATTGGAAAATGTTAGCGGCCAGTCTGCAGGGAGAATTGTTGTTGAAGCCCATATACCCCCTATTGTATTCTCTGTACCCATCTTATGTGTTTTGCGGGGGTGGTAATGCTTCCAAGATTTGGACAAACAAAACAAAACAAAACGATGTTTTGTTGTCTCTGTTTTATCAGCACTCTGAAGCTGGAGGCAAACCATGACAACACCATCTGTATCAGAAGCACACAGACAACTCATAAATGTTGGTGAAGAGGCTTTACCTTTACCTTCTTTTAAAATATGTGGTTCAAGTCAAAGATAAGATAAAAGTACAAACCTCAATAAAAACAACAAACAAATCTTGTGCATATGCTCAGTTCTGAGTTAGGTTTTTTTGTAGACCTAAACCAAGTGGTCTGAGAGTGTTATTTTTGTGGCTCGTTAAATGTAGATTGATTTGAGTGTTCAAAGCTTCCCCTGTTTGCTTTGTGCTTTACATGTACAGTTTTACACCTTGTGGTTTGTCCGGTTTGTCACACATCGATTTCCTGCAGCTGAATGAGCACACATGGCTTGAAACAAATGTCAGCGTGGCTGCCACAGATGGCTGTGCTATTATTCATCAATTTCTTAATAATCCAGTAAGAAATGATTAAAGTGTAGTGAGGGTTGAGTGATGTGTGGTGGCCGGAGAGAGCTGGAGAATGTGGCTGGGGAGAAAATTTGGCTGTCTCTTAGCCTGTGGCTACTGTGACCTAGATCCAAATAGCATCAGAAATGGCAAAAATGGATGGGTAGATGAACTGCAGAATCCCTTGCAGAAAAGTGATAGGTCTTTACATGAGGAACCTTTTTCTACATA